GCAAATAAGAACCAAGATGACATGATGTATCATTTGTTGATGAAGTCGAAGGTGGTAGATGTGGTGCTGCATGATAGAATAATAATTGTAAGACGTTTCTTCCTTTGCACTCGCATGGTAGTTCATCGAGTTCTCAATTAGCATGATTGTGTCATTTAAGTGACACTGAACTCCCAAAGTCATCACTGACAATCTTTCATCATAAAAACTTATTGAGGAGCTTATGGCGACGAGTTGTGCTATCCTCAAACACAAAGACCTCAGAGAGCGTTAAAGGTCATTGTGCTTCTTGAAGACTTTGGGAGACGACTAGCAAATTTGGATGCAACACACCCCTACGAATATAATTGAGGTATTACTTCGTGGCTGCAATAAAGCAAAAGATTTGGATGATGACTTGAAGTTGCAATAATTTGACACATTTTCCCTTTCCTTGGATATCACTTCATTTAGTTGGGGGTGGGCTAAATAGAAATTACAAGAGTTTTTAGAACGGACGTCGTGGTGGAAAGGTCATTGCAAATGTTACTGATCCCTTTGGTAGAAGGTGGCTAATAATAGGTTTTTCCCTCAAAGGTGCTTGATGAGAGCCACTAGAGACTTAGCTTAGCTTAGCTGTGTTGAGCTTGATTAAAGAGCTCAATCAAAACTCAATGTGAAATTGGGGTTGAGCTTGATTAGGCAGGTGGCTCCAATTTGGTTAGTTTGATATAGACCCGTTGGACTGAAGATAACCTAATTGAGGTTTCATGGTCGACTAAGGATTGGTTGGCTAGTCAGGACTAAATTGATTTGATCTGAGTGAGTTAGGTTTATATGCTATAACGGGACATGCTTAGTTTTGCTAAGTGCACATAGGTCAGCCTCAGTTCTTACGAGGAGGATCATATTAAGTAATTTAGACTTGAAAGTTTCTACATTTGTTATTTGAAAATTATTGAAAGTACTAGACTCATCAACTAATGTCCTTAAGAGGAGGAGGATTACACTAGTTAAGTGAAACTTACAATTCTGCTATATAGATAATGTGATTTGTTTGAGTCTGTGTAATTTTATTTGGGGTTTGATTTTAAAACATGAGAGTTATATATTTTAAAATAATCATAGATTTTTGAAAATTTATTTGCACGTATGTCAAATAAAGAACTATTTAAGTGCAAATTTAACCTTAATCCGCGCAACATTTTTAGAAATTCAAATTTAATCAATAGTCAATTTGGTGTACACATGGGTTTTTAAAGTTAATTTTGAGCTACCTTGTGCAACATTCTCTTATTGTTTTTTAAAATATTTAAAATTTTGGCGTGAGCATATGAAAGCTTTCAATTTCATATATTTGGACAATTTAGAAATGTATGTACGTATTTTAAATTGATTTGTTTCTTAGAGCAAGATATTTCAAATTAATTTCATATTAGTCTGCATAGCATTCTCAAAACGATAGAGTTTGATCACTTAATGTGATCATCAGAGCCCATGCGGACTTATAATTTTGAGATTGTGCACATATTTCAACATACCCATAGTATACATTTTACATGAATATTGGCACAATCATAATATTTTGTTATTCAAAGTAGCACGATGCTTGATGCATTTACAAGATATAATTACATATTCAAATATGCTTGCACACATATTAAAACAATTCATCAAAGCTGAAAAATGTATTGAAATGCAAATGCAAGCTTTAAAATCATTGAAACTTTATTGTATGTGCTTATATGTTGTTAAAAATACATTTATTTAACTTGAAAGTACTCACATAACTACTTGAAAAGATTGTAGTGCATCGGCACAAATCAAGGCTTTGCATCTAAGTTGAATGCTACTTTAAAACTCATCAAAATTTTTAGAAATTTGAAAGTTTGTGTTAATTTTATCTTAATGACGTGCACAAAATCACATTTTTACTTTTTTAAAAGACTACCTTTTACCTGCTCGTGAGTTAGAATTACAAATCCGATGGTGAGGTTTAAGTTCCAATATTTGACTTGTGCATGAAAACCTATATCAATTTATTCATATTGACTAACAATGAGTTTAAATGGGTTCAATTAAAAATATTAATCAATTTTATAGATAAGCTTAAAGTCCCTTAGTTCCATTTTGAATTCTACTTTTAATTTTCATGTTTTATTAAATATGATGTATAATAGTACTAATACAACAACAACAAACATTTTTCCTACTAAGTGGGGCCGGCTACATGAATCCTTTTTTCCCCATTGCTTGAGTGTAATATTTTCATTTAATTCAAATAAATTAAGATGATTTTTTATACAATATGTTCAGGTCTTTCTAAGTCTATCTCTGTCTTTCTTAACGTAAGTCGAATCTAAAATATCTACTCTCCTAATCAGATCATCAGATGGTCGACATTTAATGTAACCAAACCATCTAAGACGTCTCTCTCTAATTCTGTTCGCCACTGGAGCTACACCAACCCCATCACAGATATATTCATTTCACATTTTGTCTCTAAGTGTAAAGTCACTCATCCACCTATGCATTCTCATTTCGGGAACACTTAACTTTGTTTTATGCTTCCCTTTTAAAGACCAACATTCAGCTTCATAGAGCATCGCGGGTCTCACCACCATCTTATAAAATTTTTCTTTTAGTCTAAGCGGTACTTTTCTATCACACAATAGGCCCGAAGCAATCCTCCACTTCAACCAACCAATTTGAATACTATTAATAACATCCCCATCTATATCACCATCGCTTTGAACAATAGATCAGAGATATCTAAAGCGTTCACACTTTTTAATAATGTGATCACCCATAGTTATAACTCTGTCGCTAGAGCTACTATTACTAAAATTACATTTCATGTGTTCAAATTTAGTTCTATTCAAACGAAGGCCTTTAGACTCTAACGTGGACCTCCATAATTCAAGTTTTTCATGAGCATTCTCTCTAGTCTTATCCACGAGAAGGATATCCGAGAAGGATATCACGAGAAGGATATCATCAGCGAAAAGCATACACCAAGGTACATCCTTCTGTGAATGTCCAGTAAGAGCATTCATAAGTAAAGCAAAAAGATATGGGCTTAAAGTCGGTCCCTGATGTAATCCAAATGAAATAGGAAAATATTTGGTTAATCCTCCTGTTTGAACACAAGTAATTGCTCTAGTATACATATCTTTAATGACTTGAATATAAGTCATATAAACACCATTCTTCTCTAAAACTCTCAAAAGGATATTTCTTGGAACCTTATCGTAAGCTTGTTCTAAATCAATAAAAATCATATGTAGATCCTCCTTATTCTTTCTGAACTTTTCCATCAAGCATCTCAATAAATGTATAGCTTCCGTAGCAGATCTACCTAGCATAAATCCAAATTGATTTTGAGAAATTATTGTAATACGTCTTACTAATAATAATGTTATTATTATTATTATTATTATTTCTTATTAATATTATTTTATATTATTATTGCTTTGAAAATTTATTTTTTGATTTCTTATTTAATTTTGATTTTACATCATATTAATGTCTAAATAGTTTAAAGTTTAAGCTATTTTGCAAGTCTAAATTTATCTAAAATTTTAACAAGCCTCCGAGCATCTTCCCCACTTAAGTGGCATTGAGAAGAATGCCTATAGCATGTTCATCGGTTTATAAGATGCACAGGTCGGTGTCATAAGATACTGTGATCAGCAAACAAAGGTCTTCTAACTCACCAGTCTGTAAGACACATATGAGTCTTCGATTAACCTTCAAAGGTCAAACACAAACACGAATTTCTCCGAACTCGTGCTTAAATTTTTTTGAACGGGTACTCAAATTTTCTGGAATGGGTACTTAAAATTTTCCTGCTTTTCATACATTTTCTTGCGAAGAGGTGGCGTTGATGGAGGTGAAATTTGCGATATGAAAATACAACACAATTTTCTTGTCCTCTCTTTTTTTATTTAAATGATTTTTTAAATATATAATATATATACTCTGTAATATATATTAAAAGGGAGAAAGAAGGGTTGGGTTTTTAATTTATTTATTTTTTATATTTTTTATTTTAACAGTCAAACTCTCACTCTATTTTTGAAATATTTTTTTTCTATTTAAGGAAAAAAACATCATCAATAAGGTTTTCTAACATCGTTACATGCCTATCTTTCATTTATTTTTATAAAAGTTTAATTTAGATTCTTGCTTTTCCATTTCGTAGGTCCAGACTCTCGATTTGCATTTTGAAAATCCAATGAATTGGAAAAGAATGTTTTCTAATCAAATAGATTCTCTATCTCGTTTCATCTCTATGTATTAATTGGACATTTCTCCCTTGAGGAGAATAATAACCTGTTCTATTGTTAAATGGATTTACAAGCCACGTTCTACCATTTTCATCTATGATGGCATACAGTGGTTGTGATACATAATTCATTAGTTTTAAATTGTAATCATAATTAATTAACCATCGAATATGTTTTAAAAATAGGAAAGAAATGGTAATTTTACATAAGCGGATATAAAAGGCCTTCTTTCACCAATGTTCTTACTATCGGAGCATCAAAACCTCAAAAAGACTAACTGGCTCGAACAATGCATATATTATATTCCAGTTCTTTGTCTAGACTGCGCAATGAAAATCACGAATTACTTCTCATGCATTTATGAACTTAAATTGACATAATTTCATTGTTTCAGATATAGTTATGTAATATTTCTAAAGGAATTAAAGTCGCTTGTATTTATATAATTAGTTTTACTCCTTGTACCGGGACATAGAAATGTTTTCTCATGTATTACATCAGATAAATGCAAAAAAGAGAGGCTTTCTATTCCCGTTTTCTTATTAATGTATGAGCGTATATGTAATGAACCTATGTAGGGTTTGATAGTCTCTCTCTCTTTATATTAGTATTAATAAAAAAATATATGTTATATGGTCAATTAATTACACTGTCTCAATCTCTCTGTGAAATATTTATTATTCTACTTTCCCAGAGATTATTTCCTCTCTTTAAATCTACTTTTCTTAGCAGAAGAAGATTGTGAATAGACCTCTTGCTGGGACCATCAGAAGGGGAAAGACAGAGGATGAAGATAAGATGCTTGAACAGCTACTACTAAGTGATGAGAAGCAATGCGCCGAACATATTATGCTTGTAGATTTGGGCCGTAATGATGTGGGAAAGGTTAATATTATTTTAGTAATATTGAATTATTTGAGAATTAAATTCATCAACATGTCCACTGTTGGACTGTTAAATGAAAATTTGTTATCTTTAGCTTGTCTACTGGTTTTTATCTTTAGTCTATTTATTATTCGTGGCATCCATGATGGTGCATTTCAGTAGCCTTTAATAATGAGTGTGGTGAGATGAACATTATTCTATACAAAATGACGTGGAAAGGTGAAAACTTTAAAGTTGAATGGTGCGTGTGAGGATGATGAGGTGTTTTCATGGTAAAAGATGGAAAAAAAAATGAAACGACATTTAAGAATAATAGAGGTCACATTCAAGCATATTTAAGAACACTGCAACAGGCAGGTTTATATGTCAGTGGCCTTCGCTGTTATCTGAGCCCACCTCAGTTTTTTATTTTCTTTTTTTTTCTTTATCCTTTAGCCCCTTTTTTTTAAGCTTACTTTTTTTATCTTGTTTGGGGATCCCATGCCTTACTTTTAGATAGGTCTTTTTAGCTTTGAGCTGTATGTGTCAAATTTATGTATTCTTTCTGCCACTTAGTTAACTTTTTGTTTTTTAACTGTAATCCTTAGCCCTCAACAGAAAAAAGTTTAGATCAGTTTTGAATATATAATTGAATTTGATGGCCATTGAAAGAGAAAAGCTAGAAATACCACTGGTGCGCCATTAACTGCTATTACTAGAATGAAAGAAAAGAAATATTTTGAAAACAACACACCAAGGCAAGATGTGTGGTAATGTATTTTGATACTTGATTTTTTTTGTTAATATGCTAATTGACTTGAGAGGTTTATCCTTAAATTTTGTGAAGATTTATAGAACTGCTAGCTACACTGGGCTATTTATATGTGTTTATAATATTCTGTTCTTAAGTGTATGTTTGTTTTTGGACTCTTATGCCATCACTTGAAGATACAGTCATAGTCATAGAAAGCAATTTTTAAGCGATTTGGATGTATTTAAAAATAGAAAGGTGTATCAATCATAAAGGTGGGAGAATGATTAATGTGAAAGCGATAGGATGGGTGAGGAATGCAAAAATAACATTCATAGGTGAAAAAAAGATGTGCATTAACACAGACTGAATGGGCGTGACAGAAGATAAATTTGCAATGGTAACCTCATGTGCTTGGGAAAACACAGTGATGTTGAGGATAATTGTAATCAATTATATGGCTATACTAGGAAACAATATTGTAATGCAAAATCATAAGTTGTATATATCTACCTGACCTTTTTTTGTCTCTTCTTATGATAGATTTGTTGATTTCCTTCTTTCATACCAAATAATTCTTGCTACAGGTCTCAAAGTCAGGTACTGTAAAGGTGGAGAAGCTAATGAATGTGGAAAGATACTCCCATGTGATGCATATTAGCTCCACGGTTTGACCCTTGCTATTTAAGAAAGCAAATTTTATTTAGGGACTGAGTTAAATCAGAATTTCTATGTGAATCGAGTTAAAGTTGAAAATTGGTTGTTCAAGCACAGTACTCACTTGTTATGTATGCTGTTTTTGTGGTTAACATGCCTACTTTGTGCGCATTATTGACTAAATATCAGCTTGTTTCTGGTTTCTACAATTTTTAGTTTGTCTGATGGTGGATTTATGCCATTAGGTTCCAGTTCTTACGAATTCTCTCTTTTTATTTTTTTGGTTTTGGCATTGATGAGTATGTTGGTTATTGTAAAATGTAAAATATATGTGCGTGCGGAGCAGGTTATGTTCCAGAACAAGAAACATTAACAATTTGATATGCAAAATATCTGATCTATTGGGCCATTTATGAATTGGTATTTTTTATGAATGGAAACCCCCCCAATACGTTGAAAGATTAATATTAGCAACATTTCAAAATTAATGATTTACATTTCTAATTACAAACTTGTTATTTTTTTGGGTGAGGTGAGTGCTCTAACCCATCACTTTGAGATTCTATTTTTGTTTTCAACCAATATGTTGCAAGTTCGAGCACAATGATAAACTGATTGATGCACAAACCGACCATTACCTAAAGCATCCGCTTTTAGAGGGCACGCATATACTTTCGCCAATTGCTCCTTCCCATACGTTTATTTGGTGCCATTTTCCCATGTTCAAAATCATTTAATGTTGCATTTATTAATTTTTTAACATTTACTGTCTCAATGGGCGGCATTCTGCATGCATTTAAATCTATTGTTGACCATATTTTTAATGCCTGCCTATTAAATTGTATATCTCATGAATTGACATCCCATTATAGCTTTCATACTATCTTATCTTGCATTACTGATGGTTTAGTAAATTCAAAGCTAGGATAATGCAATGATTAATTACACATTCTTTAATTTTAGTGTCATTGATTTTACAGTGTGTGCAATGTCTCTGCAGGTTACTGGAGAGCTGTTTGATAATTTAACCTGCTGGGATGCTTTGCGTGCTGCGTTACCTGTTGGAACAGTCAGTGGAGCTCCTAAGGTTTGTATTTATACGGCATGTTATTTATATTATCATGAATATTTACATTTTTGTCTAACAAAGTCTGCACTATCATTAATGCAGCAATAAATATACCAAAAAATTACCTTTTTCGCAACTATTATGACATTCATTACTTTCATCTTCAATTATGGATCCCACAATTTACTCTAGGTAATACTTGTTGGAGGTAGATTTGATGTCATTATTGAATTTTGTGATTACAATCTTTTTTTCTTGATTCGCCGAATTTTTTATGGAAACGTGTTGCATGCTTAAGTACATGCATAAGGATAATAGCAATTTTTATGTTATTTATTTATTTATTTATTATTATTATTATTTAATTTAGGCACAAACTAGCTCTAGAACCTGATCAGTTATCACTGAGTATATTTACTAAAATTCTTAAATTTTAGTGAAATTTACATATGTAGCTCACAATTCTTATGTATTTATTTATTGTTGTTGCGAGTAGATCTAGATATATACTAGTCAGTTGATGTGGTATATATATAAACCAAACAGGAGAACGATTGACGAAGCGAAAAAATAGAACGAGAAAAACTCACACCAGAGAAGAACACAGATTTATGTGGTTCGGCAAATTGCCTACGTCCACGGAGTTGCAGAAGATTTTACTATTTGGGGAATTTACACCAAATGATCACCTCGAATTACAAAAGGAATCTCTCACTCTCACTTCGTTGCTCTCTTTTCTTCTCTCTCTACACCGAGATACACCGAAGAAACTCTATACCGAGATACACTAAAGAAGATAAACTTACAAGAGAAATAAACTCAATTTTTCTTCTGGCACAAGCCACCAAGAAAAAGCCAAGGGAGAACAATCTTCTTCTTCTTTCTTCTTCCTTCACCGCAATGAACTACTTCTTGCACCTTTCTTCCTCTATTCCGAGGAAACCTTCCATCCCAAGGAAAACTGAAGAAAAACACCGTGACTTCTTTTAAACTAAAATGAGAGTCGTGCGATATCTTTTATCGCGAGAGAGGAGGCAGGGTTGGCGACGTTTTGCGAAATGGAGGCGGGAGCAGCGGTTTTGGCAAAACAGCAGGGTCTCGGTCGCGATCTTTCGCGATCGGGGGCGGGATCGGGAAAAATCAGGCTCTAGCACTAATATCTCCCACTTGGAGACCGATACATAAGCTACAACATCTCATTCCTCGAACTGATATCTTTCACTGGAGGGTCGCCCTTTTCTTCAAACATGAATCCTCCACTGTGAATACTCCATTATGAATCTTCCACCTTGAATCCTCCACCTCTGCAACTCAAAGTCATGTCTTCACTCCAGAAGACCAACTGAAGCTGCACACAACTTCATCTCAAAAATAACACCCTCTCTCAACATATCAACAGGGTCCCAATAGCCTTGCACCTCCAAGCTATTTCTTGAATTACTCTTATCTCTGCTTACAGCTCCCACTACATATGCAATATTCTGCCTCTGCTGAAAGTCTTTTCCAACAAGTTTAGTCTTGTACCTCTTACTGTCATCAAGCTCAGTATTCACCTAGTACACCAACTTGTTTTGTAATGCATTCTTCTCTGGTGGATGTTCTGTCAGCTCACATTTGCTTGAACTTTCATCTTGCAAGATTTTATCATAGCTCTGTGGTTCTCCACTATCTGTCTATAGAACAATAGGAATGGGTGTCTCAGACCGACTATCTTCTTCACTTCCATCATTAACAGAACTATGAACTGTCAGCAATAGTGCATCTTGTACTTCTTCAGATATCACATTTGCAATATCATTCTTCATTTTTTTGGGATTTCTACAGTTCTTTTTAATATGACCAGCCTTCCCACAATTTCAGCAGATTGTCTGCTGACCAGATTTTGATTTTGATCTCCCTTTATTTGAGTTTCTGTCATGTCATCTCCCACTGAAATCAACATTTAGTGTCGAACTCGTACCTAAGATCTTGCCAGAATCTTTTCTGTACACTTCATTAGCCAAAATCAAATCACGAATATCATCGCATTTCAGTTTAAATTTACCTGCAGAATTGCTGTCATCCTCATGGCTTCCTAACTAATTAGCAATGCCAACAATAGCAGTGCATGTATCTCTGTTGAGATTAGTGGAGACCTGGTCCACTGAAACAATTAGAAAGTAATTAATATTTGCTTAATTTGCTTCCCCAATATTCTTCCCGCCAAAGCCCCCTCCCTCACGCTGTCCCGCTAAAGCTCTCTCCCTCACGCGGTTTTCTCACGTGGAAACGCGGCATTGGGAATTACCTTTCTCAGCTATTTGTGCCTCTTATAAATAGCAAGGCAAAAGGCCTGTTAAAGACACACTAACCTAATCCAATCTCTCGGGTGTAGCTTGCAAGGGGAAACAAAAAGCTGCTGTAGTTTTTTTTTTCTCTTTTTCGGTTTGCTAACAGAGAAGAAATTCCTTCTTCTTTCTCTCTCACGTGACTTTAGAAAGAGAGAAAGAGAGGAGAAGAGAGAAAGAGAAGAGGAAAGAAGAGAGAGAGAGGAGAGGAGAGAGTTTTTTCTTGTAAACGTCGAGTCGAGACACTCGACAGTGTAATTTCCTCAAAGTAATAAAGTCCTCTGCAGCTCCGTGAACGTAGGCAATTTGCTGAACCACGTAAATCTTGTGCCATTTTTTTTCTGGTATAATTTTCTCAATCTGTTTTTCGCTTTACTACCGTCGATCTTTTCA